TTAATTGTGGTATTACTATAATAAATATAATGAAAAAACAATATAATGAGATAACAATATAATGAAGAATAACAATATATGATAGAAAAGGTATAATTGTACGATGCAATATATCGTTAGATGCAAAATATGCAATATTGATCAAAATTTTATAATAATCATATAAATTATACCTTTGAGATCCATGTAAGTGCTTGGCATCAACTAATCTTTTTCTTCTGATACTAAGTCTAATTTTAGTCTTCCTAATATATATGTGCTTTACCTCATTTAGTGACTTCATCCGTAGTTTTTCTTTTCAAAGGATCATTTTAATATCTTTTCAGTCCTAATAAGCAAAATAGAAGTTAACAAAATCATAACTTTTAGTGGCATTTATTTGCTTAAGATTGTATAGAACAAGTAAACCCATTTATTTGAACTTATAGTATGGGAATTGGATATATAAATGTATATATTGATTTATACATGATTATATATATACTAGCTGTCCTAGTTTGTATGGGAATTGGATATATAAATGTATATATTATTTATACATGATTATTTAAATACTAGCTGTCCCTAATTGTATGTGAATTGGATATATAAATGTATATATTGATTTGTACATGATAATATATGGCCTAACTGCCTTAGTTTGTATGTGAATTGGATATATAAATGTATATATTGATTTATACATGATTATATATATACTAGCTGTCCTAGTTTGTATGGGAATTGGATATATAAATGTATATATTATTTATACATGATTATTTAAATACTAGCTGTCCCTAATTGTATGTGAATTGGATATATAAATGTATATATTGATTTGTACATGATAATATATGGCCTAACTGCCTTAGTTTGTATGTGAATTGGATATATAAATGTATATATTGATTTATACATGATTATATATATACTAGCTGTCCTAGTTTGTATGGGAATTGGATATAAAGTATATATGATTTTATTTACATGATTATTTAAATACTAGCTGTCCCTAATTGTATGTGAATTGGATATATAAATGTATATATTGATTTTACATGATAATATATGGCCTAACTGCCTTAGTTTGTATGTGGAATTGATATATAATGCATATTGATTTATATGATTATATATGACCTAACTCCTTAGTTTGTATGTGAAGTGGAAATATAAATGTATCTAGATTTATATTTAACGATTGTATATAGTTTGTGTATTCATCATATTATATTATTCTGAAAAATTGAATGTGAGTGAAAAAATAAACAATGTGATCGAAATGTTCTCAAGTTTTATTTTTAATGCTTATCAATAAATACTTAACTAAGCAACACTTATAATAAAAATATTATAAATAACTAATGCTATGTAGACATACATTTCTTCTTAGACAGTTACTTATAGTATCATTGATAAAAATTATTTGATAAACGATATTTTTAAAAAAAGGTAAGGAAAGTGGTACTTTTGCCAAATTTCCATGCAAAGCTGAATTTTTCAGAGAATCTTCTCTATAGACTTCTCTAGAGTATATACTAGCCTCAACCCCGAATAACAATCACTACTATATTTTTGAAAATTGGAGAAACTCAAAAAAAAGTAAGAAAATTGGACTTTTTTTCAAATTTCTACACAAAGTTGTAATTTTCAGAGAGTATATACTAGCCTCATCCCCAAATTTCAATCATTACTATCTTTAAAAATTTGGAGACACCCAAAGAAAGCTGACTTCAATTTTGGTGCCAAAAAAAAGTCGCCCTTTTTCATGTGACAATAAAAGTTGACCAGTGAAATCTAGTTAGATCTAATTTAACTTAAACATAAGTCTATCATTATAATGTCTTTATGAATCTTAGAACTATTTATACATAAAATTATTAAATTTAAATGCGACTTTTATCCTAATATGGAATTAAATATCTTTTTTACAATTTTTTTTCTAAATTATGTGATGGAAGACTAAGGTGATTTCTATATACAAAATAAATCGATAAATCATTCTCTCAACTAGGGAATGCAATAACGAAACAGATAATGAAACAGATAATGAAATTTTTCATCTCTAGACTTTTAATTTTAATTTTTCATTTATAAGTATCTTCCAATTTTGATTATATATTTTTTTTTTTATCGGTATTGCATTCCCTACTATCAACTCATACATCAACAATCCATTCATGAAATCTTATCCAACTAATGACTTAGTATAAATTAATATTTGGTACAAGACAATAAATAAATTAAATTATTTATCTAAATAATAACTTTTCCTAATTCTAAAATTGTGTATAAAATATAAGATCTCTTAAATAATAATTAAAGTCACGTTTTGTCTTTGTTGTCTGGTTAGTACACGTTTTGATCTGGTTGTACCGTAGATACTCCTGGATAGAAAAAAAAGAAATAAAATTTTTGAATATTTTTTTTTGAGCAAAAAAGCGCAAAGCAAATTGTATGTGCAGATTTTGAAACGATAATGAAAGCAATAATATAAAGGAATAATGTAAAGCAAAAATATAAAGCGATAATATCTATAATGATACTAATGATATTTGAAGTTTACTTCTTTAGGCGCGACTAGAGAGTAAATCTGTGAAAATGCAACGGAAGAGTGCCAATGATTCGTCATTCGCTCTCGACGATATCATCTCTATATGGGTCGATTGTGATTGGTCGTCGCGTCGCGTGAGATTGTATAGTGAAAAAAATAAAACAAATGTAAAAACTGTGCCCTGTAAAAAACGAATGAAATATGTTGTATTATTCGTGGTTACTACATAATTTTAGAAATTATTTTTATAGGCACGACACAAACTACAGCTGCTCAAAGAATGAGACTGTATCGCCAGCGAAATAGTAAAAAAAAAAACAGTCAATGAATGTATGTTAGTTTTAATTACATGACAAGTGAAACAACTGCTCTCGTTCAGCTTACAATTTCATTTTACTGATCCTGAACGTATTTGTTCTAAGTTTACCCCCAATCCAAACCTTTCCTTTTTAAAAAACTAAAGTAAATTTATTTAAATGACTAAATCTTCTTATATATAAAAATGGAGCTTGAAATGGCTGAACGGATTTGACCAGTTTTAGTCTTGAGATATTTGTGCTAATCCAGAGGTTGTGAGAAAAAAGAGAAATTGCTTCAAAACTGCGTAGAAACTTTACATTTTCAATTCAATTTTTTTTTGTGTAAACCTAATTTACAATGAAGTAGTGAAGGCGGCTCATACGTCAAATATCAAATGGTTTGAACAGATTATGTTCAATCAAATTTAATAGAACGTTTTAGATGAATATAATTTAACTGTAGCAAGTAGTTTATTTATACACACAATTATTAAATCTATCGCTAGTGAATAATATAAACTAAACCGTTTTGCCTTAAGGCGAGTTGCATGATCTTCTCCGTTATAAGCAATTAATCAACTTAATCAATAAACAATTAACATATAAGTACACCAAGTTGTTGTAGAGTATTATATGTTAGAAATTATAATAATCATTATTCATATTTCGTACAAATTTACAAATTGTAAGCATAAGTATATTGTCATATAAGTTAGTTATAGTGAAAAAAATCGAACACGCGTTGGATATATATATATATATATATTTATATACGTGCATGTCCTAAGAGGTGTACATTTATCACGTGATCAATTTTTAGGATTTTTGGAAAAAAGCATAACCATAAAAGCATTCTTATTTACTAAATGAATAAATGAATAAGCATAAGCGCATGCATAATAAATTATATATAAATAAATAAGCATAAGTGCATGCATAATAAATTATATATAAATAAATATTAACCAGTTAACTGTGACGTGCTCATTAAACTGTCAAGGTAAAATATTGTTGTAAGGTAAAATTTCACTTACAACTATTTAAACAAAAAGTTCGATAAGTACTTGATTTTTTTCTTTTTCCAAAAATTGCAATTTAAATAGCCAAAAATTAGACTTTTATAACCATGACGAATATACTCGTCAATATACAAAATTATGCCATTTCCTCATGACGAGTCTTTCATCAATCACAGTTAACTGATTAAATCAGTGGTTTCCAACCTTTTCGTACCGCAAGACCCGGATTATGAAAAAAATAATGCTTCGCCGCCCCTTAATTTTTTTTTAAGGATCTAATTTAATAAATAGTCAACTGATATAATTAGACAATATAAAATATTATATAAACATTAGGGTGGTCCTTTATATGGATATTTTCGAATTTCTTTGTTCTCAGAGGCTCACAATGCATTCGTTTGTAAGGGGCTCTAGTTCTTAAGAAATTTAGTAATTTCAATTTGATAGAAATATTGACTTTTTACAATTTTGTAATAGGTTACATTAATTTTTCAAGCAATTCATTGCTAAAAGTTTACTGCTTTTATAGTAAACTTCAATGATTTTATTATACGAGAATCACATCAAATCTTAAACCATTCATCATTTTTAAATAACTTAATTCGAAATTTAGATTTATATTGACATCTCATTAAAAACTAGGAATTTGTAAAAAAATTGACATGGTTTTCTTTTTGTCATATAATAAGCAGAAAAAATAACACAAAATCGACAAGCATTTATTCATAAACCTTTGATGAAATGTATGTAAGTAAAAAATTCGCTTATTTTAGATGATAATTTAATCAAGTAAGTAACAGATATGTAAGACATTTTATATTTATTTATATACAAACTTTTATTGCTTATTTATATAAATTAAATATAAGTATGTATAAGTAAATAAAAAAAAATATAAATTTTCGCAAAATACAAGGATAATGAGATTTAAATAGCGTAAAAATTAAAATTTATCATCTCAAATGATATAATGATATATAATTTATGATTTAGTATTTTATTGACAATTTAGAGATGCTCATAATCTTCATAATAATAAGAAACTTTATTCAAAATTGTTATATGATGTATTTATTTTTACTTAAATGCCATCTTGTACAGTAGCAAATAAGTTTTACTTCAATCGCGTTTGAACCTTACGCGCACTCTTGTTTTTCATCAATTTCGAAGCATTTGAGCCCCTGGGAGCAAGGCAATTCAAACGCATCCATATTAAGAACGACCTTAAAAAACGCATGCATAAAAATGTTTATTCATTCGGTTTTTCACACCATTTCAAAGTTTTTGGTTGGAAGCAGCTTTGCAACGGAGGGGTCGCGACCCACAGGTTGGAAACCACAGGATTAAATGATCAATTACAAATGAATAAATAAATAAATTGTTTATAATCTCTACCTGTTGGCGGATCCGCAATGGAGACTATTGAGAGGAACGTTCGACTGTGGTTGTAGCTGCAGGCGAGTCGCTCCTTCGATTTCTCTAAAACCAAGCGCAAACACTGTAGCAACCATATTTAACTACAATACTAATATGAAATAAACTATAACCAATTTTAACCAATCAAAATTATACAGCAGAACCTGTTTAAAGACTATCACGCTGGATGGAATTTCTTATGTAAATTTACCACTTTATACCAGTCTCTGCAATTTGAAACCACGAGAAAACTGGTTTTTATTTAAATAGCAATTTTCACAAAAAATCGGATCCAAGTTTTTCTAAAACAATAATTTGCTGAAATTCTTTAACTCAAACAAAAAATTAACTTATGATTTCGGATAATTGAAAACAATAATTGACTGAAATTATTTACTGTTCTAAATAATTTTTAGTATGTCTTACTTCTATTTAATCAGACCCTTTGCTCATATATAAGGAAAACTGCAAATGCTTTCTGATCATGTTCTATTATAAAAAGCTCGTATCAGAAATTTTACAATAAATAAGTAATACCTGATTTGATTATTCTATTCTATTATTTTGAAACAATAATATTTGGATTACTATTTCATTGATTTTCATCACTCTTCCCACTATGAAGTGCCATGTGTTTCCCAAATCGTCCGATTGAGTAAATTCCTCATTGCATATTTCACATTTATAAGGATCATCTCTGTTATGAAGCAGCATGTGTTTGTTCAGATTACTCGAATGTGTAAATGTCTTATTACAAATACTGCATTCATAAGGGCGCTCACCACTATGAATGACCATGTGAATTTGCAGACTATTTAATTGTATGAATGACTTATCACATATAGTGCATTTATGCAGTCGCTCACCACTATGAATAAACATATGAGTCTTCAGATTACTTAATTGTATAAATGTCTTATCACATAAACTGCATTCAAAGGGGCGCTCACCACTGTGAATGAGCATGTGATTTTTTACACTACTTGATTGTGTGAATGTTTTATTGCATATTTTGCATCGATATGGACGCAAACCATTGTGGATACGCATGTGCTTTTTCAGATCACTTGATTGCGTGAATGTCTCATTGCATACACTACATTCATGGGGATGTACTCCACTGTGTATCAGCATATGACTTTTCAGATGACTTAATGGTTTGAATGTCTTATGGCATATCTTACATTCATAGGAGCGTGCCCCTTTGTGTAGCAGCATGTGGTTTTTCAGATTACTGGATTGTCTGAATGTCTTATTACAAATAGTGCATTCGTGGGGACGCTCATCACTGTGAATTAGCATGTGACTTTTCAGATTACTTAATTGTACGAATGCTTTATTGCATATAGTGCATTCATGGGGGCGCTTACCACTGTGAATGAGCATGTGATTTTTCAGACTAACTGATTGTGTGAATGACTTATCGCATACATTGCATTCATAGGGACGCTTACTATTATGAGTGAGAATGTGATTTTTCAGACTACTTGCATGTGTGAATGTCTTCTTGCATATGCTGCATTCATGGGGGCGTATACCTTTGTGTATCAGCATGTGTACTTTCATATTACTTGAACTTCTGAATGCTTTATTGCATATATGCATTTGGGGGACGCTCACCAGTGTGAATGAGCTTGTGATTTTTCAAAGTAAGCAATAGTTTGAAAGACTTATGACAGGTTTCGCATTTGAAGGGGCGTTCTTTACTATAACCAGGCATATGATCAACCATATAATGCTCTTTTAAATGATGTGATTGTGTGTCACATTCATAAGACTCCTGTTTGACTTCTTCTATTGTCACTTCAGAATTCATAAACCCTTCTAAACACGTTTTATCATCTTTAGAACACGATTCAAATTTGACAGGAGGATCAAGAACATCAAAATTCTCCCCATTTTCGCATTTAATGTCTTCTACTGGATAATATTCTGGTGGCTCAATTTTAATTTCCTGATCCATAGACGTAATTGTTTTTTCTGACATTTTTTAATATTATCACTGCTTATACTCACTAAATATTCAAAAACTATTCGTATTTTAAATAATAATCTACTTTAATAAACAATCTTTTAAAATATGACAAATGATATCAAGTAAAATTATATTGATTATTTGACAGTTCGAGCATAGAGTGTTGAAAAGAAAAGACGCGCCACTTTTAAATATCAAAGATTCGTTTTGACAAATGTCTCATCTTTCTATAAACATACTCTATGCTTCAAACGTCAAAGATTAAATTTAGTTGAAATGAATCATTTTGTAAAAGCTTGTTGATTAAAGTAGATTATTAATTAAAATACGAATAGTTTTTAAATATTTAGTAAGTGCAAGCAGTGAAAATATTCCAAAATGTCAGACGAAACATTTATGTCAGAGAATGATCAGGCAATTATCAAAATTGAACCACCAGAATATTCACCGGAAGACATTAAATGCGAAAATGAGGATGAATTTGACGCTTTTGATGCTATTGTTAAATCTGAATCATTTTCTGAGGATGATGATACGTGTTTAGAAAGATTCATGAATTCCGTGGTGACAATTGAAGATGAAGTCAAGCAGGAGTCTTTTGATTGTAATATTTGTAATCAATCATTTGCAGAATCACATCATCTAACAAAGCATATGATCGATCACATGCCTAACCATAGAGAAGTACGTCCTTTTAAATGTGAAAACTGTGAAAAGACTTTCAAACAATCAAAAGTGTTGAAAGCACACTTGCTCATTCACAGTGATAAGCGCTCTCATGAGTGCAGTATATGCAAAAAGACATTCATACAATTGAGGACTCTGAAAAGACACATGCTCATTCACAGTGATAAGTGTCCCAATAAGTGCATTATATGCAAAAAGACGTTCACATATTCAAGTATTCTGAAAACTCACATGCTCGTTCACAGTGGTGAGCGTCCCTATGAATGCAGTATATGCAAGAAGACATTCACACATTCAACTAATCTGAAATCTCACATGCTCATTCACAGTGGTAAGCGCTCTCATGAGTGCAGTATATGCAAGAAGACATTCACACTAATGGGGGCTCTGACAAGACACATGCTCATTCACAGTGGTACACGTCCACATAAATGCAATGAATGCAATAAGGCGTTCATTACTATAACTAGTTTGAAATCTCACATGCTCATTCACAGTGGTGAGCGTCCATATGAATGCAGTATATGCAAGAAGACATTCACACATTCAAGTACTCTGAAATCTCACATGCTCGTTCACAGTGGTGAGCGCCCCTATGAATGCCATATATGCAATAAGAGATTTACACAATTAAGTAGTTTGAAAATGCACGTGCTGATTCACAAAGGATTGCAGCCCCATGAGTGCAGTGTGTGCAAGAAGTCGTTTACACAAGCATCACATTTGAAAAGTCACATGCCTGTTCACAGTGGTGAGCGTCCTTATGAATGCAGTATATGCAAGAAGACATTCACACATTCAAGTACTCTGAAATCTCACATGCTCATTCACAGCGGTGAGCGCCCCCATAAGTGCAATGAATGCAATAAGACTTTCCTACGATTAAGCAATCTGAAAAGTCACATGGTCATTCATAGCGGTGAACGTCCACATAAGTGCAATGTATGCAAGAAGACATTCACAGAATTAAGTAGTCTAAAAAAACATATGCTGATCCATAACAGAGAGCATCCTTATGAATATGAAATATGCAATAAGGAATTTAATCAATCAGGCAATTTAAATAAACACATGGCACTTCATAGTCGGAAGAGTGATGAAAATCAATGAAATCTAAACATATCTGTTGAATTTTAATATTTGGAAACGTGTTATAAATATTCTTGATTGTAATGGAATGTATAAATAGTATAAAATATACAGTAAAAATTAAATATGTATTTCTTGATAAACAAAGCATTTGTTATTTATTAGTTTATAATTTTTTTCATATTTTAATTTTTATTAGTTAAGTAGATTAAACCACTGGTTTTAGATTCGATATCCACCTCCAACGGCTTGATATCAAGCAATATTGATATACTTAGTGCAAATTTTTCACAAAGATTTCCATTATGGCACTCAGATGTTTCATTTGACTTCATACTTATATTCATGATTCTTATAACTTTTGTGAATAGATTTCTGGCATAGTAATTATATACACACACACACACACATATATATATATATATATATATATATATATATATATATGATTTAGTAGTTATTTTTGATGTTGAGATATATGAGTAAGTTCTTGTAGGGCGATGCATCGAAGAATAAAAAGCAAAGATTTATAAATTAATTTTTAATTCCAAACGTTTCGACATTATTTGACAGTTCGAGCATAGAGTGTTGAAAAGAAAAGACGTGCTACTTGTTAAATATCAAAGATTTGATTTGATAAATGTCTCATCTTTCTATAAACATACTCTATGCTTCAAACGTCAAAGATTAAATTTTAGTTGAAATGAATCATTTTGTAAAAGCTTGTTGATTAAAGTAGATTATTAATTAAAATACGAATAGTTTTTAAATATTTAGTGAATGCAAGCAGTGAAAATATTCCAAAATGTCAGAAGAAACATTTAAGTCTATGAATGATCAGGCAATTATTAAAATTGAACCACCAGAATATTCAACAGAGGACATTAAACTCGAAATTGAAGATGAATTAGATGCCCTTGATGTTACTGTTAAATCAGAATCGTATTCTGAGGATGATGAAACGAGTTTAGGAAATTTAATGAAATCCGAGGTGTCAATTGAAGAAGTCAAACAGGAGTCTTTTGATTGTGACATTTGTAATCAATCATTTGCAGAATCGCATCAATTGAAAGAGCATATGGACGATCACAAACCTAGTCATAGTGAAGAACACTCTTACAAATGTGAAATCTGTCAAACGACTTTCAAACAATCAGTTTTTTTGAAAAATCACACATGCACATTCACAATGATAAGCCTCACACGTCACATGTATGCCAGGAATGTAATAAGACATTCAGACATTTAAGTAATCTAAAAGTCACATGCTGAATACAAAGGGGTACGCCCCCATGAATGCAATGTATGCAAAAAGACATTCAGAAGTTCAAGTAATATGAAAGTACACATGCTTACACAAAGGGATACGTCCCCATGAATGCAGCATATGCAAGAAGACATTCACACATTCAAGTAGTCTCAAAAATCACATGCTCACTCACAGTGGTGAGCGCCCTCATGAATGCAAAGAATGCAATAAGACATTCACAGAATTAGGTACTCTGACCAGTCACATGCTCATTCACAGTAATGAGCGTCCCCACGAATGCAGTATTTGTAACAAGACATTCAGACATTTAAGCAATATGAAAAAGCACATGCTGATACACAGTGGATTACGCTTGCATGAATGCAATATTTGTAATAAGACATTCACACAATTAAGTAATCTAAAAACTCACATGCTGATACATAATGGGGCGACGAGCACCTATGAATGCACAATTTGTAATAAGACGTTCACAAAACTAGGTAGTCTCCAAAGACACAAGTTGATTCATGAAGAAGTACGGTCCCATGAATGCAACATATGCAATAAGACATTCACACAATCCGGTCATCTGAAAAGTCACATGCTCATTCACAGTGATGAGCGCCCCTTTGAGTGCAGTTTATGCAATAAGACATTCATACAATCAAGTAATCTGAAAAGTCACATGAAAGTTCACAGTGGTGAGCGCTCCCACGAATGCAGTATCTGTAACAAGACATTCGGACATTTAAGCAATATGAAAAAACACATGCTGATACATACTGGACTACGCACCCATGAATGCAATGTTTGTAATAGGACATTTACACGACCAAATAATTTAAAAAAACACATGCTAATACATAATGGCACAAGCACCCATGAATGCACAATTTGTAATAAGACATACACTAAACTACGTAGTCTCCAAAGACACATGGTGATTCACAAAGAAGTACGGCCTCAATATGAATGCAATATATGCAATAAGACATTCACACAATGCGGTCATTTGAAAAATCACATGCTTCTTCACAGTGATGAACGCCCCTTTGAGTGCAGTTTATGCGATAAAACATTCATACAATTAAGTAATCTGAAAAGTCACATGCTCATTCACAGTGATGAGCGTCCCCACGAATGCAGTATTTGTAACAAGACATTCAAACATTCAAGCAATATGAAAAGTCACATGTTGATGCACAGTGGAGTACGCCCGTATGAATGTAATAAATGTAATAAGACATTCACACGATCAAGTCATCTAAAAGATCACATGCTGATTCATAATAGAGAGCATCCCTATAAATGTGATATATGCAATGAGGAATTTACTCAATCGGACGATTTGGGGAAACACATGGACCTTCATAGTGGGAGGAGTGATGAAAATCAATGAAATATTAATCCAAATATGATTGTTTTATATTGTTATTTTTAATGATACGCGAATGGTATCACAAATCAAATTAGGTATTATATAATGTTTGTAATGTAACAAATAATTTTGTATTAAAAACTTTCTATAACAGAAAACATTTGTAGCTTTCCTTATCTTTGAGGAAAGGGTTCAATTGCATAGAAACAATATATATTCATTTTTTTTATAATACTTATTAAAAACTGTTGGAAATTATTTAACTGTAATACTTAGTCAATGTATATTTTGTGCAATGCTATATATTCAATGTACATAACTGTGTTATGTATTCAATAGGGTAGTCTTTAATATTGTCTTTTAGAAAGTGCGCAATTCAATCAAAGTTTTGTATGGAAATAGCACAGGAAAATTTTCAAAAATTTCAAAAATGTTTTTCAGGTATAACTTAGTGAACAAATTTTTAACGCTTTGCCAAATTGATGCCAAATAAATCAAATATTTTCAACTACAAAACTTGTAGTGATATTAAGTACATAGACCACTGCCTATACTATTTCCTTACGAATCGTCTTAAGCGGGTTCTACTACATTTCTCGTCATTATTAATTAGTTTTAAATAAGATTCAATAATTACCTTGAGCGCTGCTGTTTCCTCCGGCTGTAAAGTTCAATATTCGCGGCCTTTCGCAAAGTAATACTGTTTTGTAGGCCTGGCGATATTGTTTGTTCATTATCACATAAATAATTGGGTTTATACAGGCTGATAGGTATAGTAAAATGTAGCCCATTATGTGGAGCCCTGAAAAAATAAAAATTATTAATAGATGCATTAGTACAATATTGAACAAATATTTAAATATGCTATGAACTAAGGTGAATCATTTTCAGATGTTTGATGGATATTTTTAACTTCCCGTAGGGTAGTTAGTAATGCGCCAAAAATCGAAAATGAAAATTTTTGCATTTTCGACGTTTTGAAGGTTTCTGAACATTTTGACATACCTCAGAAAAATGGATGTGTTTGTGTATGTGTTTTGTATGTCCGCATTTTTTTCGTCCACGTTTTCGGGCGCATGGTTCAACCGATTTGAATGGTTTAAAAAACATTCGATTCCTACTGATAGGAAGATGTGCTTATTAGTTTTTGGCAAAGGCAGCTAGCCGTTACGAAGATACAGAGCAAAGAGTGCAGAAAAATACAAATCGAGTTTTGAGAGAACGGAATATCGGATTTGAATGATCTAAAAACATTCAATTTGTAATGATTGGGAGAAGAGGAGATTAATTTTTGGCAAAGACAGTCCCGCCATTTAGAAGATATAGAGCTAAATGTGCAAAAAACGGCAGTTTTGAGTGAAGTAATAAGCGTCCGATTTGAATGATCTAAAAACTTTCTGCTTGTGACACAACAATATGCTTTTGAGGGTAAAAATTATTACATCTTTTTTATTTTCCATAAATATTTTTGTAATTTTGATTAAAATTATTCAAAAAATTACCCAGCTAGCACAGTCTAGCGCCGCCCTGGTAGAAATGTGTACCCAAGTGCGTTCAGACTGTTTAGCGCTTTTCCAATTTTGTGTAAAACTATTGAAAGATATGAGAAAATAGCCAAGCTAAGCACAGTATAAGTGAAAATGTCGCACAGAATTATTTGCAAATGCGTTTAGACTGTGACTATACGGTAGCACTTTTTCAATTTTGTGTAAATTAGGCAACTATTTTTTGAAATTGAATTCGAAATGAAATGACAATTGTTAATGTTCTGGATATAAATTGATTTATGATATACATTTGATTTGCTCAGATATAACAATGAGATAGCAAAAATAATGAAAGTTACAGTATTTGTAATAATATAATTGAAAACATTTAAAAATTCTCGAATATTTCCTTACGGTACGGGAAGTTCGAGCAGTGTGCCTTAAGGCACGATGCCATACACCACTAGTATCCTATGTATGTTTTAGTCGTTTTGGAGGCATCAACTTGAGAGTTTTCTATTTTGAAATACTGTATTATTTATTACTTAAATTATCATTTTCCCTTTACCTGGATATTTGACTTCTGGATCTGCAACTTTGGCAATAGTTATAGGCAGATAGCAAACCACAAAAGACAAAAATATCGCCAAAACCATTTTCGTGATTCGCCACTCGTTGCGTTTCATACGGGCTCCACTGCTTTCTGGGGTCCTTTAATTAAAATTAATTATAATTAAGGATATATAATTTTGTCATTTGAAAAATACTACCTTTGGAACATAGTTCTTTAGAAATCAGAGACATGGATTTAAAGGAAGATTGAGAAAAAGGAGGATGGTTTTTAAGAAGATAAAATATATGGTTAATAAGACGTCAACATCAAGAGTGCTTCAAAGAATAGAAAAAAATATGTTCAAATTAGGCATGGTCATGAAAATAAAACCATGAGACCAATTTTGTGACCCTTCTTTAAAGAAAAAATAGAAGATCTGAAAGGACTAGTAGAAAGAAAATTGCAGATGCATGGCAATTTCCAATGGATAAACACATTTTTTTATCAGAATTGGACTAGACGTTTTGAACGAGTTTAATATTAAACGCATGTAGAGAAGATTGATGTGATTATATACATCAGTAAAATCGATTCTACTTGATCTTCTCTACATGTTTGTATTGAACTCCTCCTAAACAATTAGTTCAATTCTGATAAAAAAAAGTGTTCATCCAGTGAAATTATTGAAACGTTTTCTAATACATATTTTCAATTTTCTTCTTACTAGTCCTTTTAGACCTTCTATTTTTCCTTTGAAGAATGATGGTCACAATCTTGATCTAAGTAAGTTATGATTAGAAAAATCTCTCTAATCCGGCATTAATAACTCTTTCCACTCGTGAATTGCAAGATGAATATGTATTTTGTCGCCGAAGCGGCGGAATCCGAGTGGAAAGGGTTAAAAACCAGAGAGGAATATTCAGAATTATAGTAAAAAGTCAAAGGATATTGTTTATTATTTCCAAAACTATCTAGTTTGCTAAGGGTGTCGGATTATTGGAGGTGTCGGTGTATCGAATTTATAATTTCATATTATTTATTAATTTATAAGTTTTTCATTACCTGGCTATTTGTGGTCCACTTTTTGCAGGAGTAGCCGAATTGCCGTTGTTTTGGGGCTTATTATTAGCTTTGGCAGCATGTTGGCGCATTCTCACTTCCGAACTGGCAAAAAAATTATTTATTAATCAAATAATTTATTATTAAGCAACTGAATAAATATATACTATTGTATAGATATTTTGTACAATCTCTCATACCAGGCGCTTTTGTCTGTTTGAGATGTATAAATTTAAATTAAAATTCAAATAAAAAAATTTTTAATAAAGTGAGAATAAATGTTGTCATACATTTTTTTATAATTCATTTTTGCTAATCAAGACTTAACGTTTGCTCCAAACGCCTGAACTAATTTCAAAAATTTAAAAGCCAATCAATGTATTTTGATGTAGATTATCTTTTCTCAGTTTCGTGTAGCGATCGGCCGAGCGTTCCGTTTTGTAATTTGGAAAAAAACTGTTAAACTTTTCTTCCACATTTAAGCTCATTCTACCAAATCGATTTTAAAAAATCAAAAATTGTTTGAAAGATATTAGTTGGGAATGATACTGATTAGTTTTAGGTGAAAATCTACCGAGCCATTTTCTTGTAATTAACTGTTGAAAAAAAATTTAAGCCAAATTTTATGGACAATTCTTATAGAACTTACCGTAATATTACGGCCTTACACAAGTAGTCAAAATTGATCCTAAACTACTGAACCAATTTTAAATTTATTCTAATAAAATGTCCTAACTCTTGACCTGTATACGAGTATATGTGCTGAGTTTCAAACAAGGAATCGAATAGTAAGAAAAAAATCCAAAAGTTTTTCAAAAA